TTTGTTAAATTAATCTCTTCCCCCATTCATTTATTGTCTGGGTAAAGATTTTGATTAAACCGGAAATGCAAAGCCCGGTTCAATTCGAAGACCAAAAAGTTTACAGACTTGAATTCGAAGACCATAGATTTCCTTCTGAGCGATCTTTGTGTTGATTGGTTTGATCAATTCCTGCGAATCCGAAGCGATTCTTTATCTCTTTCAAGCCGAGGACTCGGGCGTATTTGAAGGTTCTTCCTTGTGATCCTTAATTGAGAGTGCTTTTTGCATTATCCTTGAAAATCCATCCCAATTTGGTTTTTGATTTTTAATCCACTTTCCTCTTCTTCTTCCTTGGGATTCTCCATCTCCTAAAATGGGCATCAGAGTTTTTCTTCGCTCGCTGCTGAGTCGATTGATTTCGTCAATTTCACCGTCTATTCTTCCGATTGAGTCTTCTTTGTTCGGTCGTTCCGCCACATTTCAGATCCGTAAAACCTGATGGTCCGGCAACAGCCGCCATTCCTGCGCCGTCGTATTCATTGTCCGTAATTCTTGACAAGCAGTGATAATCCAGGTTTATTCTCCATAACCTTATCACACAATTTCGAATATAGGATAAGGAATATTGTGACAAGATTTTGCCTTCATTTTTGGTTCCTCTGTGAAAAGAAAAATCGTGGAGACTGCATTTTGGTTGGCATTGAAAGGTGACCTCAACATGTGTGAAATAGCAAAGTTTTTCATTTCTTCAGTTTAGAGTCGTTTACGAGAACGTTTGGTCAGACAAGTACTTGTAACGTAATCCTCATTTTTGAGATGAGTGAGGCTTGTTTATGTTTGTCACTTTAGACAACCCTGTTTTCTATGTCTTTAATCTTTTGTAGGAACATCTAAGTCTTCTTACAAGGTATTTAGATGGGGAAACAAGAGTCATGTGATTCATCTTCTTTGCACTATTCGAGGCGTTTTGATGACATAAAACAGATTAAACGTTCTTTCTTATGTTCGCTTTTTGCATTTGTTGTTAGTTGATGTTTGATGGATTCTTTTATTGCTGACTTTGAAGAAAGGACTATGAAGAAGATGAAGCCCATTTGTTTCAAGTTTAACTGATGTTTTCAGAATTGCTCTTAGTTCATTCATATAAGGTCTTCATCAAAAGAGACTTGGGACGATTCAGACAAAAAGGACGCACCGACTGCCACATAAGCAGACTTCAAATTCGGTGTTTAGAGTTTTCATGTACTTGCATTGGCTAACTACTGTAATCGTTTTTTTTTTTTTTTGCATATGGAGAGTCATTTTGTGTTTTCCTTTCATGTTTCCTTTGTACTTGGTTTACTTTATTTACCTCAAATCCTATGTATGTACATAAATCTCATGATTCGTTTGATCAAAAAATAAAAATATAGTATATATCTCATGATTCTCATATTTTATTGGCGTTTTTGCTATTGTGATTTTTGAACCATTAAGTACCAAATACCAAGTAGAAAGGTGGCTTTGAACATTGAGAGTTGCATATTCGTCTAGATCACAATAAACAAGGTATATTTACAAGACAAAGTTCAAAACGACTAAACGATAAGAAATACGCTAAACAACAAGATATAAAATAACCTAGTATCTACTACCCTAGTAACGGCACCTGACCTAAACCCTGGTCCTCCGTAGTAGAAGTGACTCTTCCACTCATCTGTGTAGGCCGTCTTGATATCGTAGCATTCAGGCTGCGTTACCAGTTTTTCGTAGTCTTGAACCGTCTGGAGACTGTTGTTCTTATCTACCATCTCAATGTTCCTGAAATAGCTACTGTTTCTGAATCCTTCGGCCGGAAAGTGGCCGGACCCCATCTGAGTCTTCGTGTGTTGCCCGTGACTTGCCGAGTTTAAGATTTCTCCGCCCCATTCTGCGACGACCGCGTGATCAGCTAAAGTCGTAAAAAGTTCTCCCGGCCAGTATCCTATCACAGAGCTGTTCGAACCTAAGCTCAACCACCAGTTCCCAGATATGCGATCCTACAAAAGAAAAACCAAGAATATATATAATTTTAACATGAAAAATATAGAATACACAATAAAGGGTATAAACTCAATGAGAAAAATAAAGAAACTAACCCTCCATACGAGGATGGTAATCTCATACTGGCTACCTCCAAAAGAAGAAACAGGAGTAATCGAACCTCCAATGACAATACTGCTACTGGTTTGTATAAAACCAGAGCACTTAAGGTTATAGCAGCCATGTTTGTAGGAATCACTCTGTAAAATTTACATTGTTGTTATTAGCCAGTTTTGGGTTTCTCATGAATATATTTATATATTTTTTTTAATTTTAATTTTATGATATAATTAAAATTAATAACCAAAAATATGAACAGAAAGAAAATTACCGTCCAAAAGACAAATAGTCTCGGCTTGTTGTCGAGATACATCCTGGGAAGAACCTAAAAACGTTTGAATAATAATAATAATAAGTTAGTTATTCATAATAAAACAGCAAAAATAGTTAATATCTCAACAAAAATTTAACGTACCTGGCAACCGACTTCTATCGTGTTAAGATTACCCGTCTCGTATTTCCCGGCAGCAATCCACATCTGAGCTATGGACATTTCATCTCCCTCAATCTCAGGATCCCACACGTTAATCGTCGCCTTCGCTCCATATAGGTAGTCTCGTGGGGTTTCTCTAATGACGGCATACTATCATTTCAAGAAACAAGTTGAAAATTTTTTGGTAAGTATGGGTCCATCTAGTTCATCTTATACACTACAAGTGAGTTTCCTCAATGTGGAGTCACAGAGGTACATTTCGGACTCCTTACCTCTTCCGGTTCCCAAATTTGGTCCATTTGATGTTCCTCCCTTGGATTGAGACCGTTTCACTCATGTTTGTCCTCATAGTCATGTGTAGAACCTATTAATCCATGTTTGGGTAAGTATGGGTCCATCTAGTTCATCTTATACACTACAAGTGAGTTTCCACAATGTGGAGTCACAGAGGTACATTTCGGACTCCTTACCTCTTCCGGTTCCCAAATTTGGTCCATTTGATGTTCCTCCCTTGGATTGAGACCGTTTCACTCATGTTTGTCCTCATAGTCATGTGTAGAACCTATTAATCCATGTTTGGGTAAGTATGGGTCCATCTAGTTCATCTTATACACTACAAGTGAGTTTCCACAATGTGGAGTCACAGAGGTACATTTCGGACTCCTTACCTCTTCCGGTTCCCAAATTTGGTCCATTTGATGTTCCTCCCTTGGATTGAGACCGTTTCACTCATGTTTGTCCTCATAGTCATGTAGAACCTATTAATCCATGTTTGGGTAAGTATGGGTCCATCTAGTTCATCTTATACACTACAAGTGAGTTTCCAAATGTGGAGTCACAGAGGTACATTTCGGACTCCTTACCTCTTCCGGTTCCCAAATTAGGTCCATTTGATGTTCCTCCCTTGGATTGAGACCGTTTCACTCATGTTTGTCCTCATAGTCATGTGTAGAACCTATTAATCCATGTTTGGGTAAGTATGGGTCCATCTAGTTCATCTTATACACTACAAGTGAGTTTCCAAATGTGGAGTCACAGAGGTACATTTCGGACTCCTTACCTCTTCCGGTTCCCAAATTTGGTCCATTTGATGTTCCTCCCTTGGATTGAGACCGTTTCACTCATGTTTGTCCTCATAGTCATGTGTAGAACCTATTAATCCATGTTTGGGTAAGTATGGGTCCATCTAGTTCATCTTATACACTACAAGTGAGTTTCCTCAATGTGGAGTCACAGAGGTACATTTCGGACTCCTTACCTCTTCCGGTTCCCAAATTAGGTCCATTTGATGTTCCTCCCTTGGATTGAGACCGTTTCACTCATGTTTGTCCTCATAGTCATGTGTAGAACCTATTAATCCATGTTTGGGTAAGTATGGGTCCATCTAGTTCATCTTATACACTACAAGTGAGTTTCCACAATGTGGAGTCACAGAGGTACATTTCGGACTCCTTACCTCTTCCGGTTCCCAAATTAGGTCCATTTGATGTTCCTCCCTTGGATTGAGACCGTTTCACTCATGTTTGTCCTCATAGTCATGTGGAGAACCTATTAATCCATGTTTGGGTAAGTATGGGTCCATCTAGTTCATCTTATACACTACAAGTGAGTTTCCACAATGTGGAGTCACAGAGGTACATTTCGGACTCCTTACCTCTTCCGGTTCCCAAATTTGGTCCATTTGATGTTCCTCCCTTGGATTGAGACCGTTTCACTCATGTTTGTCCTCATAGTATGTGGAAACCTATTAATCCATGTTTGGGTAAGTATGGGTCCATCTAGTTCATCTTATACACTACAAGTGAGTTTCCACAATGTGGAGTCACAGAGGTACATTTCGGACTCCTTACCTCTTCCGGTTCCCAAATTAGGTCCATTTGATGTTCCTCCCTTGGATTGAGACCGTTTCACTCATGTTTGTCCTCATAGTCATGTGGAAACCTATTAATCCATGTTTGGGTAAGTATGGGTCCATCTAGTTCATCTTATACACTACAAGTGAGTTTCCACAATGTGGAGTCACAGAGGTACATTTCGGACTCCTTACCTCTTCCGGTTCCCAAATTTGGTCCATTTGATGTTCCTCCCTTGGATTGAGACCGTTTCACTCATGTTTGTCCTCATAGTCATGTGTAGAACCTATTAATCCATGTTTGGGTAAGTATGGGTCCATCTAGTTCATCTTATACACTACAAGTGAGTTTCCTCAATGTGGAGTCACAGAGGTACATTTCGGACTCCTTACCTCTTCCGGTTCCCAAATTAGGTCCATTTGATGTTCCTCCCTTGGATTGAGACCGTTTCACTCATGTTTGTCCTCATAGTCATGTGTAGAACCTATTAATCCATGTTTGGGTAAGTATGGGTCCATCTAGTTCATCTTATACACTACAAGTGAGTTTCCACAATGTGGAGTCACAGAGGTACATTTCGGACTCCTTACCTCTTCCGGTTCCCAAATTTGGTCCATTTGATGTTCCTCCCTTGGATTGAGACCGTTTCACTCATGTTTGTCCTCATAGTCATGTGTAGAACCTATTAATCCATGTTTGGGTAAGTATGGGTCCATCTAGTTCATCTTATACACTACAAGTGAGTTTCCTCAATGTGGAGTCACAGAGGTACATTTCGGACTCCTTACCTCTTCCGGTTCCCAAATTTGGTCCATTTGATGTTCCTCCCTTGGATTGAGACCGTTTCACTCATGTTTGTCCTCATAGTATGTGGAGAACCTATTAATCCATGTTTGGGTAAGTATGGGTCCATCTAGTTCATCTTATACACTACAAGTGAGTTTCCACAATGTGGAGTCACAGAGGTACATTTCGGACTCCTTACCTCTTCCGGTTCCCAAATTTGGTCCATTTGATGTTCCTCCCTTGGATTGAGACCGTTTCACTCATGTTTGTCCTCATAGTCATGTGGAGAACCTATTAATCCATGTTTGGGTAAGTATGGGTCCATCTAGTTCATCTTATACACTACAAGTGAGTTTCCACAATGTGGAGTCACAGAGGTACATTTCGGACTCCTTACCTCTTCCGGTTCCCAAATTTGGTCCATTTGATGTTCCTCCCTTGGATTGAGACCGTTTCACTCATGTTTGTCCTCATAGTCATGTGTAGAACCTATTAATCCATGTTTGGGTAAGTATGGGTCCATCTAGTTCATCTTATACACTACAAGTGAGTTTCCTCAATGTGGAGTCACAGAGGTACATTTCGGACTCCTTACCTCTTCCGGTTCCCAAATTTGGTCCATTTGATGTTCCTCCCTTGGATTGAGACCGTTTCACTCATGTTTGTCCTCATAGTCATGTGGAGAACCTATTAATCCATGTTTGGGTAAGTATGGGTCCATCTAGTTCATCTTATACACTACAAGTGAGTTTCCACAATGTGGAGGCACAGAGGTACATTTCGGACTCCTTACCTCTTCCAGTTCCCAAATTTTGTACATTGATGTTTCTCCTTGGTTTCTCATGTTCAATATTGTCCATTTGATGTTCCTCCCTTGGATTGAGACCGTTTCACTCATGTTTGTCCTCAAGAGTAATGTGGAGAACCTATTAATCCATGTTTTGGTAAGTATGGGTCCATCTAGTTCATCTTATACACTACAAGTGAGTTTCCACAATGTGGAGTCACAGAGGTACATTTCGGACTCTTACCTCTTCCGGTTCCCAAATTAGGTCCATTTGATGTTTCTCCCTTGAATTGAGACCGTTTCACTCATGTTTGTCCTCATAGTCATGTGTAGAACCTATTAATCCATGTTTGTATAAGTATGGGTCCATCTAGTTCATCTTATACACTACAAGTGAGTTTCCACAATGTGGAGTCACAGAGGTACATTTCGGACTCCTTACCTCTTCCGTTCCCAAATTGGTCCATTCGATGTTCCTCCCTTGGATTGAGACCGTTTCACTCATGTGTCCTCATAGTCATGTGTAGAACAACTATTAATCCATGTTTGGGTAAGTATGGGTCCATCTAGTTCATCTTATACACTACAAGTGAGTTTCCACAATGTGGAGTCACAGAGGTACATTTCGGACTCCTTACCTCTTCCGGTTCCCAAATTAGGTCCATTTGATGTTTTTCCCTTGGATTGAGACTGTTTCACTCATGTTTGTCCTCATAGTCATGTGTAGAACCTATTAATCCATGGATGGGTTAGTATGGGTCCATCTAGTTCATCTTATACACTACAAGTGAGTTTCCACAATGTGGAGGCACAGAGGTACATTTCGGACTCTTTACCTCTTCCGGTATCCAAATTTGGTCCATTTGATGATCCTCCCTTGGATTGAGACCGTTTCACTCATGTTTGTCCTCATAGTCATGTGTAGAAGCTATTAATCCATGTTTTGGTAAGTATGGGTCCATCTAGTTCATCTTATACACAACAAGTGAGTTTCCACAATGTGGAGGCACAGAGGTACATTACGGACTCCTTACCTCTTCCGGTTCCCAAATTTGGTCCATTTGATGTTCCTCCCTTGGATTGAGACCGTTAATCATGTTTGTCCTCACTATTATATTTAGGGAATGGGACGAGAAGAAACAAAAGGAACGGGATAAGACATAACAAAATGGAAAAGAACATAATGGGATATGATGAGATTGGACGGGACGGGGACAGACAGGACGGACGGGATGCGAAAGATAGACATGATGAAAATGAACGAAATAGGACAAGATGGGACAAGATTGACAAGAATTTTGCCTAACCCTAATTATATTTAATTATTGTGTTTAGACAATAATAAACCGGACTCCTTACCTCTTCCGGTTCCCAAATTTGGCCCATTAGATGTTCCTCCCTTGGATTGAGACCGTTTCACTCATGTTTGTCCTCATAGTAATGTGTAGAAGCTATTAATCCATGTTTTGGTAAATATGGGTCCATCTGGTTCATCTTATACACTACAAGTGAGTTTCTATAATGTGGAGGCACAGAGGTACATTTCGGACTCCTTACCTCTTCCGGTTCCCAAATTTGGTCCATTTGATGTTCCTCCCTTGGATTGAGACCGTTTCATCATGTTTTCCTCATAGTCATGTGTAGAACCTATTAATCCATGTTTGGTAAGTATGGGTCCATCTAGTTCATCATACACTACAAGTGAGTTTCCACAATGTGGAGGCACAAAGGTACATTTCGGACTCCTTACCTCTTCAGGTTCCCAAATTGGTCCATTTGATGTTCCTCCCTTGGATTGAGACCGTTTCACTCATGTTTGTCCTCATAGTCATGTGTAGAACCTATTAATCCATGTTTGGGTAAGTATGGGTCC